ACTCAAAACCGGCACTGAAGAATTATCTATCAAAATCGGATGAAAACTGTGGAAACACAAACATCTGATCACACACTTTGAGAATTATAGATATAGATAGCATTATGTATATGTACGAAAAGGCTAAAAATAATAGAAGAATGTTGATACTGGCTAAAAGCACAACCAAAAGCAATTGGAAAACATTCTGACAATTATTACATAATTTATGTCTTGAAAAGAAAAAAAAATGATACGAATACACGAGAAATTATATAAAAAACACTCAACCACCACAGCTTGTCAATTGTTTACAACAAAACTTAATATATAACAGGTTTAGTTGAATAATCTAGACACATGCCTGTCTATTTCATTTTAATCCTCTCAAAATCCACAGATCAATTTCTTAGTGCCATTACAAAAGCAAGTAGGAAAGTCACCATAGTTTTGGTTATTTCTTTTATTTTCCCAAGTACTTTCAATCTCATCCAAGATCATCTTCATGGGTGAATTGCTAAGACAAAATTTAGTGCAATTGATAGTTGTGAATTTGTAAATGTACTCCATTATAGTCAATTTATGTTAATAATATGTAAGGAAGGCAACTTAGTTTAAAATTTTCTTTATTGTTAATGTTTTAAAAATACACACCCTAAAATAGTTAATTTGCGATGTTTACTTTCAAAATAGAACATTTTCTATTATGTGTCATGTCGCAGATAATTAGAAACTAAATTTAATTGGTCTTGACTGGATAAAACAACTTTTTTTTAAAATTACTCTCAAATCGGTGTTCAATACATTTAAGTGAGGTAGCCTTCAAAAAAGGTAAAGTCCTTACTTTCTTCCAATCTTTTGCCGACACACTACAACCGATCCATGAATAGCGGTAGTCTGATTCTTCCAATTATGGTACTGAAGCTGTTATTTATCACATTTTCCCTGATGGCAGCCAAAAGGCAATAGCTCACACATCCAGATCACTGACACCAGTAAAGCATAATTATAGCCAAATTGAAAAAGAAGCATTAGCAATAGTCATTCTATTAAAAAGTTCCACAAAATGCTGTGCAGACATTATTACTCTGATCACAGATCACAAGCCTCTTGTTAGTATTTTTGAATCTAAAAAAAAAAAAAAAAAAAAAAAAAAGGTATCCCAGTGTATACAGCAAACCATCTACAAAGATGGGATACAATGCTGTTAGATTATAATTTTCCTATAAAATATAATTCAGCAAATACAATTTGTCATGCCAATGCATTATCTAGGCTCATAACTACACAAAGCTTGCATCCACCAGTCACTCCTACAATGATCCATGAAGCCAGTTTCTGATCCAGTGTTAAAAAAGTGATATGCTTTCATCGTACAAATGGCTAAAAGTATGAACTGGAAAAAGAATTCAGCCAATCTTTCAGCATCGACCTTGCAGAACACATGATTGTCCCATCTTCATTACATAAATGAGTGATAAAGCAATTCCATTATGGTCATCAAGGTATTAGCCATATGAAATCTCTAGCATGCAGCTATATGACCAAACGTGAACAAGCAAGCAGTTGCAGGAATTGGTACACACATGTTCCAATTGCCAACAAAATCTACACTTAGTTCCTGGCCTATACCTGAATCACACCATTACATTGAATTGCTGGACTCATCAAGGAGTAGTATTAGTTTATCCTTGTTGATGCTTACAGCAAATGGCCAGAAATTTTTCCTCAGATGAAATAATTCTTAAGATAAAACAAATTTTCAGTTGATTTGGCATCTCAGATACTAATTTTAGATAATGACACTGCATTCATACAGAAATTGAATAGAACCACACAAGAAATATTCCTACACCCAATCCAAACACACCTAGCAGAAGCACTGATAGACCATATTATTTACACATCAATGTCATCCATCCAACTAGAAACCAATCTTAAAAAAAAAAAAAAAAAAAAAAAATATATACTGTGATGGAAGAACAATTTAATAGTCACTAATTGTCTCTACATTAGACTCCCATAAGGCTGGCAGTGGGGACAGGATACCAGCTGTTGACCTGAAGAAATGTGCTCCTGAACTGGCTCCTGTCCTCTCCAAACTATACTTACTTTCCAGCCTGTTGGAAGTCCTCATCTGTTTTACCTGTATTTAAGCACTGGAGATCCTTCTGACCCATCTAACTACTATCTTATCAGTCTCCTACCACTCTTCAGCAAAGTCTCTGAAGCTTTAATCAACGCTGAAATGGTTAACCACCTTACATCCCATGATTTCCTCTCTGACAAGCAATATAGTTTACACCTTGCCTGATCTACCGCTGATGTGCTCACAGCCATAACTGAATGTTTATCAAGCACATTACAACAATGGAGAAGCTGATGCCATGACTTTAGGTATCTCTAAAGCATTTGACAGGGTTTGGCAAAGTTCAGGGATATGGAATTTCAGGACGATTATTTGACTTCATACAATCATTCCTGTTAAACCATGTAATGAAGATCATCCTTAACAGATTCTCCTTCTGTTCCTTTCTCATGAATGCAGGTGTCCCTCAAAGCTCTATCCTGGGCCCTGCACTGTTTCTGATCTTTATTAATGATCTTCCTGATGTCATCAGTTCCAAGTAGGCATCAACGCAGAGGACACTACTTTTTACTCCTGCCTCAATAGCAAATCTGGCATCACTGACAAAACTAACCTGGCTGTTGGTCTCAAAACAGACCTCCAATCTGTTGTTGACTGGGGTAAGAAATGGCTTGTTAATTTTAATGTCTCAAAAACAAAACTGCTCTCTTTTACCCACCACAGAGAACCCTTCCTGCCTCCCATTAGAATGTCTGATGCTCAACTCCACACGTGCCACTGCTTCCCTGTTTTTTTTTTTTTTTTTAATACTTTCACAGTAACTGCTCAGAGGAGCTACTCCTGTTGGTTCCCAAACTGCATGAATTTAAACGTGCTACTAGGTTGGCATCTCAGTCCCACCCTTTCACTGTCGAAACAGTTAAATATAGCCATCTCTTTACTCCAATAGCTTCATACCACACACTTCCAGTCTATGAAAGTCCCTCTTACTTCTCTAAATATTCAAATGCAACGTCAATTGACATCTCCAGATGTCTTGATCTATTCCCCGTCCTTCGCTTCATCCTTCCTTCTATCATGCCTCTTTACTCTTGCTCCCTCCCTCTCTCTAACCTCTTGCGTGCTCGTGGTACTCCCGCCTTGCCTCTGGAGTGACATGCTCAAAAACAGAGCAGTGAAATGCAAATATGAGGGATTAAACAACAGTAGAGAAAAATGGATCCAAGGATGCATTATACACCGCTCTGGAAATGTTACATATGATGTGGATATACAATCTTCAGTGTGGGTTCAACATGCAAACTAATTACAGCCATCAAAACTTCCAGAGACCAAATTAAACTTCACTTTACTGCTGGACATTCTATTAGATACCTTTGAACTGCCTCAACAAAGTTCCCAAGTAATGCCAAGAGACAAAGGACACCAGCAAAAAGTGCACCAAGGATATCTCATCCAATACGAAGTAAACCATACCCACTGCAATTAAATCCCAGACAAGTCATACAAGCACAAGAGGGAGGTGTTTTTTTTTTTTGGGGGGGGGGGTACTTACTTCCCCTTATAAAGGACAAAAACTCAAAATACAAAGAAGTTATATCCTTTGTCCACAAGTGGGAATGCAGAACTTCTGAATCCAAAATGGTGATAAGCTGACATGCACATGAAACTCATGGTTTAAATCCAAAGAATTCTTGCTGTTCTCAGCCAGTAAATGAATAAAAGTTATTGAGGGAGAAGAGTTATTGCAGATGATTAAGTTGGCTGTATTAAGTTTAGTATAGTATCTAATTAGTTTTTTTTTTTTTTTTTTTACTAGAACCAGTAGGGATATATTAGTACTTATGAGTTTTTTTTTTGTTTTGTTTGTTTTTTTAGGATTTTTTCATCTTGTTTGCAAGTTATTTTGCAGTATAGTAGGTTGATGTTTGAGGTTTATGTTAATATTTCTAATAGCTTGTCTACTCTGCAGTTGAGTAATCTAAAAAACTACACTGGATCAAACAGTTGTTTCTCCTACAATATAGAATGCTGGTTTGAGCCCTGCTGGAAGACACATTTTCTTACATTTTTGAACATGCCGGTTCATACACTGTTTGGAAAAATGGAGCATCTACTCAAATATGGATACCCACTAAAAAATAATGTTTGAAGCAATACATACCTCATTTTGTGCATAACTTTCAATGCATTACAAAACACATGAAACTTACAAATTTTAAGGCTCTATATGAAATTATACAAGCAGTTAATAAAAAGAAAATAAAGAGTAGAAACAACTGGATTTATTCTGCACTGTTAACAACCATCTTGATTACTGTAATTAATCTACATTACCTGATTTGTTATGGTGAGAAGGAAAGAGGTAAAAAGAAGAAAAAAGCCTTTTCACTATACAGAGTGTCCATAAAGTCTGGACACAGGAATCTCATTAATTATATTTTCCCTCCACAGATTAAACATGGTTTTGTCGAAAAAGAATTGACTTCTTCTGGAGGTATGCTAAAGGAGAAGGTGTATCCAATGAAAATTACAAATGCAACACACACGATTGAGTGCATAAAGAGTGAATGTGCTAAAAATGATGGCAATGTGGCATTATTGCATAGAGTTCACGTGAATTTTGCAAAATACATCAACCTTGCAAATCACAAATGATGGAAACCATACTGAAGATGATATTTGTTAATATTCCAATTCAATGAAACGTTGAAAATATGTATTTTTGTCTATGTGTCCAGACTTTAGGGACACCCTGTTGTATACAAGCTATGTATAAAAAAAAAAAAAAAACACCTGAATGTTTGACTGTTTAACATTCACTATACCAGTTCACAAGTGCTTTATGTGGGTATGTTTTTTCTTCTAAAAGTCCAATTTATTTAAAAGTGCCAAAATTTTAATAACCATGTGATGACAAGAGTCTTCTTACCTTCTGGAATGTTTCTGGTAATCATAGTCTCTGCTGGTTTTTCTTTTCTTGGATCTGTAATATCCATAATCGTCATCATAGGAAGATTCCCGACTGGGAGATCTGTGTCTTCGACGTGACTTAGGCATCTAACAAAGGATAAACAATATAATCAAACATTAATTTAAGCTCAAGCAACTATTAGTAAAATTATCTTTCAGAAAGATGATGATGATAAAAAAAAAAAAAAAAAAAAAAAAAAAATAAGACAAGAAAAAGGAGAAAAAATTTCAACTGTTTTCTAAAAAATCTTTAAAAATTTTAACTCCAAAATTACAAGAGTAAAGATAGTTGAGCTCAAAGCAAAGCAAAATGCAATCCACTTGACACTCAAAGAATAACCTTTAAAAGCAAATTATAAAGTATCTGGCAGAATAAAAATGGAAGACTATAAAAATTTATTTATATGACCTGATATGAACAGTAATTACTAACCTACAGAAAAATAACTTTTTACATCTAGTCCATAAGTTGCAAAATTTACTAACCCCAACAGCAAACTTTGAATTATCAAAACCCTGTGAAGAAAGGGGTTTCACATTTGAAGTCAACATTTTATATATATATATATATATATATATATATATATATATATATATATATAGAGAGATTCTATTTTTTCCCTATATTTGTTGGTTGAGAAATGAGCTTAATTCAATATTTCAACTACCTCTATCATAATACTACTAGATTCAAAAATTAAATTATTATCCAATTATTTTAATAAAAAATATTATGACAATAATTGCTTAAGTGACCATTATATGGGTTGGAACAAAAATACCTCCCACATAATGGCAAGACATTCATTGCACTGATGTCTACATCTATTTCTGCCACACTTTATACAAAGAGAAGTTATGGTCTCACTAATACAATTTTATACTATAAAAAAAAAAAATTTTATAATGTAGCACCAGGCAGAGAATTAATTATAATGGGAAACTGAAAATTTTTCAGTCCAACTCATTTTCCAAACCTGACCAAATGATCAAACCCCCTTTTTTAAAAAGAGGCTTCTTGTTTAGGCCAAGAACTTTTTACTATCCACTCAAAGGGTTTACTACTGAGTAGCAAAGTTACAAGTGTCAAATTAAGCTGATATCAACAAAAATTTACAAGCATTTAAGATAAAATGCAGCAATTCAAACTTGTTCATTTACACTATAGATAAAAGCTAAATTTGACTTAGGCCATGTGGATGGCAATTTTTTTTGTAGTTGTAAGAGTTGAAAATGTACATTGCTCTATTTCTAATACACATTCATTTAGATCAAAATGTAAACAATGAGTAGAGGAAGTAAGTTTCATGTTCATTTAGACATGAAACCCACACATAGGATATGTATCCTTTGTACAACAGGATAAAATGTAAGAGTCATATGTATAAAATTTTCGAGAGTAAAATTCCAGATAAAACAGTTTCATTTATAAAAATAAATTAGAATTCAATAAATACTTGATGCCCAAAAACTAAAAATTTAAAGCGAAGCGTTCTTTTATCTTTAACATTCCTCAAAGTAAAATTGTAACTAACATTTTTACTTCTTTCCCTACCCACTACACTTGAGTTTTCAAGGTCATATAATTCTACCTGTCAGAGATAAAAGTAAAAAGTATTAAAAAAAAAAAAAAAAATTTTTCTTGTTATAATAATAATAATAAAAAAAAAAAAAAAAAAAAAAAGGCTGGAATAGAATGAACATGGAATAAGATAATACATTCAAAAGTTTGTGACTCATCTTCCGGCAGGATTGTCAAAGCATTTTCTGATCACCAATCTCATTTGAGAGAAAAATAATAATTTCCAATTTGTAAATAATATTTGTGTTGTCAGAAAGTTTGTCAACCAATGTAAAATACACAAGAAAAACAAATCAATAACAGAAAAGGTAAAAAAAGAAAGAATCTTCTATGTGCCAAATTCTGGTTTCAAATTAACTCTCAGAACTAGCCATTTTCTCACATTTTATTTCTCTACAGTTGTGTGGAAGGAAATTTCTTCAATGCATTTCAGGTTTAAAATAAAAATTGGAAGATCAATTCCCATTATTAGGTATCCTTCCAGAGATTCTCTGAAACAGTCAAATTTTCAATTATTTTAAACAAACAATGGGAGAGAGATATCAAACAACTACAAGTTGCAACAAATAGTCAAATCAGATAGTATGTTGTACTTCTTGTATAGGCAGTTATACTATTGCAGTGCATAGAATTCATATAGACTGAATACTTTTGTTTTATAGATGACCTGCATTATAATTAGCTAAGAGACTATCTACATTTTAGGTGGATATATAAACCACTTAATATGACTTTAATAATATATGAAACAGTCTGCTATCCATGCATTATGAAACAAGAATAATTTCAAGAGACTCAAGTATAAAAAAAAAAAAAAAAAAAAAAAATCACAATATCTCACTCCCTCACCAACTTCCCAATTATAGCAAACATCAAAAATAAATGGCCTGCAAATAAGAGTTGAATCCCCAAAAAAAAAAAAAGCATGTTTTATAATCTAATATAAAAAGTAAACACTTTTTGGAATCCAAATACATTCCATCTTTAAGAAGCAAAAAAAAAAAAAAAAAAAAAAAATCTTAAGTAGAAGTCACATTCATTCACATAACTTTGTTATACTGGATATGCTATAAATGTACATGTAAATAAGCATAGACCATTCCTACCAGTTTGACTCTAGCACCAGTTAATCAACAATTCAACACAACAAAAACCCACAGTAAAATGGGGATAAAAAAAAAAAAAGGCATTATTCCAGCTGGTATTATAATAAAGAGTAAATCAAATTATGTAAAAATTGTCTGTTAGGAAATCAAAAACTTCCATTTAATTTGTGAATACATGCAAAATGTAATGGCTGAAGGGCCCAAAGCCTGCTGTGACATTAACTCCTTATTTGGCAAAGTGTCAAGTGTGTAAATAAAGTAAAATACAATCAAAAGTAGTGAATGAGCCTTGGGACTTTAGTTTCAGTTTTGAGGAAAGCAGAAGGTGAAGCTAAATTCATTCATTACAATCGTCTGGACTTCATGTTACCAAAAGTTCTTATTTAATTTATATGACCAGAGAACAAGCCTTGAAACTGAAGCAACAATTGGCTAACCAGGATTTATACCAGCATAAGTAGCAAGGATTAACAAACAAGAAATTTGATATATAAATTTGAATAAAAAATAAAATAAAATTTTTTTGGCCTTCTTTTTCTGACCAGTGTAATGACTGTACATTTTTTTTAATATCATTTCATTCATTCTCATCTTTTAAATAACATGGACAGAGTAATCATACATTTAAAAGAGGTTTGACCAAGGGTGCTGAATAGTTGTCAAAAAGTGTTTGCTTGTGTGTGTAAAAATTCAGATATAAAATATCTGTAAAAAGGCAGTATGAATAAAGACAAAGGAAAACTTTTCTTTATCGAGAGGAGTTCTCTTGAGAGACTTTATCAAGATCGATGTAAAAGATAGTTTGGGACATGGTTGAAATAATTTTGATATTGTTAAAATAATCTGTCCAGTCTTAATATCAAAATAATTACAAACACATCCAAAACTATTATGGATACAATCAGAACCAGAAATGTCCATAACAATAATTCTGAAAAATTCATAAATAAACTATCACAACTTCCCCTTAGAATATATTGGGGAAACTTGCAGAAATTTTAAAAACTTATTCATGAACACAAGAAGAATTTCATACATAACAATTTATGAAATGATTAGCTATACACAGAAATAAGTTGAATGAAAACTTTCATCTCAACAATGCTACACTTATTAAGATAGAAAATAATAGATGGAATGCCCTAGATTTTTTTTTTCTTAAAAGAAATAGCATAAAGTCTTTTAAAAAACCAAGACCATAAAGATTTTTAAAAATTAAAAGAAAATGGTTAACTCAAGACCTTCTGGGATTTAAAATAAAAACATACATAATTTATCAAACTAAAATAATTATATTAAAAATAAATAAAAATTATACATACATATATATATACACACACATATATATATATATATATATATATATATGACAGAGACTTTAATTACCCATTTCATTTATAATTTTATTTCATGGACACCAAGATGTTCATCTCATCAGAACATATATATATAACAAATAAGAAAAAATTCCTTAACACCATATACTCACTTTCTATTTATTATGCATTAAATAACATTACTTAACACCCTCCATATTTTACCTTTACTTATGCACACTTAAGAATATTCTAGAGCATTCTTAAATTTAAAAACTTAACATTTCTGCTTCTGTTTATAAATACAGGTTGCAAAATAAAATCATGACATTAACCTTGATAAAGTCTCTCAGGGTACAAAATATTTTGGTAAAGAAGTTATCCTTTTGTTTTTATATATTTGAGGAAACTACATAATCACATGAATTTTTAATTAGATATCTATGGTAGTAAAAATAAGTTATAAAATAAAAATAATCTATTGTGTATATATCACAAACTATTATTCAAATATTTAAACTTTGAATTAAATTTTTGCTGAACTGAAATATGATGTTCTAAAAAATTTCACTGGAAGATTTTAGACAATCTAGAAATTGCAGATTCAGTGAATATTAAATTGTTGATTCTGCTTTAAGCTTTATATTTTCCCACGATTTTCAAAAGATGATGGCATCTTTCAAAGTATTTTTTTTAATAAAAAAAAAAAAAAGAAAAAAAGTCTGATTACTCAATAAAAATTTAATTTAATTTTTATATTTTTTAAAGCTGTCATCTCATTCTTCACATTTGAATTAACCAAAATGTACAAATTTATTATGGAGCTGAAATTGCAAGGATTATAATTTCTACACTGTGATAATGTTACTAATGAAACAAAATCCTAATTTTCAAAAAAATGCATGTTGCAATATCAGTTTTAAAAAGCCAAGACATTAAATTTGTGATGAAAAATTATCTAAAACTGAATTCTATGGAACAGTTTCAAATCATTTAAAGAAGAGAGAGAAATAACTTAATTTGGTTCCAAAGTGAAGGAAAAACCTACCTATGAATTAAAAGTACAAAATTAATCAGTTTATGTGATGTAGCATCTCTTGATAAAAAATTAATATCAAAACGATCTGCACAATGACTAGATACTGATGAGAATTGAGATTATTATCCCAAATTATGCTATTATTTCTGAAAGGCTATAGTGAGCACGTCATGAAACAGGAGGAATGATGCATCACAGCTTCCTTCCAAGTGGGCAATGAATACACCATGTGTAAATCAAATAAAGCATTAAAATTCAAAACAGCACTATTTGTTGAATAGATACTGCATAATATGTCCTTATGTTGCAAATTAAATCAAGTTATAAAAATTGAATCAGTTTAAAATAAACATTATGATGCCAATCTATTCACCCACCTCCTTTCCCATGAATAACTATTTCCTTCTCCCAACAAGCATTCATATCACATCTTTATAAGAACTTCTTCAGCCACAATGAAATTGAAGCATTTAAGAAAATCTGTGGCTCTCTGAAGAGTTCTTTAATAAGAGGAAAGACTTTTGAACTACCAAAACTTTATGGAGCCTAAGGCAAAATATTCTAACTGCACACAGAATGTGTTTTCTATTGACACTCAAGTTACACACAAATGTCTCACAACTAAGGGTTAAATAATATAGGAACTTTAGGTGGCAACCAAGCAAGAAGGATCACTGACTTCAAAGCTGGAGAATAGGCAACAGGAAACTAATTTCTTTCATAAGAAGTTATGCTAATTCACAAGTAATAATTTAAATGAATATGTGGAAAATCATGAATGCCTACATCTTGAAGAGAGATGGCATCTATGTGATTTTGGACATTTTTACATTAAAAGTGAAAATGCAGGAAAATGAGATGCATTTTCATCATCTCATGCTCTTATTTCCCAAAGTGTGTGTGTGGGGGGACCCTACACAAACAAAAATATGTACCCTTTATAAAGAGGGTTATCATATCTGAATGTAATAAGTGGGTTGCCAGGTCCCAAAGTGAAAAGCTACCATTAATCACTTCAAAAGCCAGTGTACACCCAAAGGTGATGCTTTATGATGCTTATGTGATTGGAAAGGCTTTGTATATTAATAGCTCCTCTTGCAAAATCAGATGTTGAATTTAGTTAAGTTAAAATGAAATTTGCCCTTTTGGAAATATCAGCCCCCTCTCCCCTTCAACAACAAAAAAAAAAAAAACATGGAAGAATTAAAGAATTCTATAATAATCCTGTTGAATTTTCAAATTAGTTAAAAAAAAAAAAAAAAAAAAAAAAAAAAAAAAATGCAAAGGGAAAAGCAAAAGAAAAGAAGAAAGAAAAAGAAGGTGGGGAGAGAGAAAAGTAAACACAAAAGCCTAGGAAAGACGATTTTTAGGCAACATTTGTATTCAAGTTGCTAGAAGAGTAAATATAAGGTTTGTGTATAATGACTCAAACACTTGCCTCCATAATTGTCACAGCCAGCAGCAGAAGCAGCAACAACAAAGCAATCATAGAGTATGCCACCTGGGCAATTGCAGACACAGAGGGTAGTAGGTAGCTAGTGATGTAGACTAGTGAATACTACAAATTTCCTCAGCTGGAAAAATGAAGAATTTTAGGTGAGCAGGTAACATGTAAATATGAAAAAGCATACAGACAGAACAGTACACAAGAAAAACAAAAGTCAAAACAAGGAATTTTTTTCAAACACTGTATTGACTATTTTGGTTAAGACAGTGTCACTTGAAGTTTTCAACTTCAAAGATTATAAGCAAGCTTCTCTTACAATATCACCAGATAATAATCATGGAAATATGAACAAAAACTGGAAAAATAAACATTAAATACAACATTTAGTTACAACTTATAAACAAAATTCAATCTTACAGTTTAAACAGGAAGCAGATTCTGCATGTACAATTCTGAACAGCAGTATTCAAAGCTGGAAGGTTTAATTCCTACACAGGGACAAAATGGCGTGCACATAGACAAACGCACACAAAAAAAAAAAAAAAAAAAACACACACACACACACACACGTCATAAAAAGCCACAATGAAGCAGTCATTTTTAAGTGATTCGTTTTTTGTTTTATGAAACTTGATTGGGATTTTTTTTTTTTTTTTTAAATTACCTACCCAGATAAAATCCTAGTTAAATTATGTTCTGTCAATACAAGACGAGCATACATAGCATATTCAAAGAAATAAAAAAAATTACATTTATCTGAACCAATTTGATTGTTGCTGTCATTTTTGTGATAAGATTTTTTTAATATGTAGCACTAATCAAGAATAACACATTCCAGATGACACAGCAGATTTTAATCACACCCTTTCCTAAAAATGTAAACAATTATAGAAAAGATGCACATTAATTTTCCAAAAGAAACAATATTAATACAAATCAGCATATAACAAAAACAAAGCAAGATCATCATAATTTCTTGAAGGACTGAGATTTTGTTTGCTTTTAAAATTGTACTAGTAGCAGGTGCTGAAGAGTGTTCAAACTGATCAATCTCCCAAAATCAGGCCAAATGACCAAATATTTTACTTTTTAAGTGTTTAAGGGGGTCAGAACTTTCAGCTCCCTCTTTTAAACTAAAGTCAATATGTGGAGTATATTACTGAAATATATTTCTATTAAAAGGCATTTTAATGCATATATTTTTTATGCATGAGAAAATTAAAAACTAAGAAAAATTTTTTATGCATGAGAAAATTAAAAACTAAGAAAAATACAAATTTGGCTACATTAAGTATTTATTTGAGTATATGGAACTACCAGTTGCGTTAAAATAGACAGGCTTTTTCCGCTCAATATTTCAAAGTTAAACATTAAGAGGAATCATATATTTAAGAATTACAATCACCGATAAAGAATTTTTTTTTAGGAATTTTATCACGGATAACAATTTCAATATCAAATGTCTTGTTTTTTATTGCAGTCCAACAAGTATTGTCCCTGTTGCAGATCCTACAGAGCCAACCAGTGGTCTATACTGCAGTTGCATTGAGCAAACCTTAGTTACTGTTTTTTTGGGAGAATGCATATGATCAATAGTTAAACATGGTCAGTACATTCAAAACCTGTCACAATGACTTGTGACACTGTGCTAGCAAAAATCATTAAATGGTTTCCAAATAATTTTGTGTACTCAATTTCAATTACAACACTTGACCCAACAGATGTTTCTTCCCAATGATGCCACATGCTAGGATAATCTTCCCAAGTCAACAATATCAATAAATTACCTCCATGAGAAATCAACTATGGCAAGATTTGAACTTAGATTATATGGCCAGACTGTAAATGTTCTAACCACTTGACAACATGCTATATATGGGTAGCCTATTCATTTTCAAAAAAAATTATTAAAAGTGGCTCTAAATTGATGGTTCTATTTACAATATACCTATCATGTCAAACTATCTGACAATGTCATCCAATGTCCAGCGTAAATGTGCTGCTAAAGTAATTCTGGCATAAAAATAGATTTGGTTAAAAGAAAGGACACAGGATAGATGTTTTCCTCTCTTATAACATTCATATCTAAAACTTTCTCATGACAACAATAAAGTTTGGCTCAATGTATATTGGGTATGGTAAACAAAAGTCAAGTAATTACCACTTGATAAGAGTGATTAAATTCTTTTTTTTTTTACAGTTAATAGTTATAAAATTTAAAATACCTGAAAATTTTTCAACTTAATTAAAGTTAGGTACCTCCACGAAATCACTAAAAAAAAAAAAAAAAAAAAAAAAGAGAGCATAGCTTTATGAAAAAGACACCAACCTTGCCGAAAACAAAATTTTACCGTCTAAATGCTTATGTTATTATTAAGAGGAAAGACCAAAGTTTTTTTTGTTTTTTTTTTAATTATTTTTAAAAATTTTTCCTTCTTTTTATAACATTCTAGATTTTGATTAAAAAAAACCTTGTTTCTCTTTGTGGAACTAGTAAAATAACACGTTTTTTGGTATGACACACATTAATTTGGAAAATCTTGCAAAATAATAATTGTCGGATGTTAATGAAACTTTCAGGAACTATTCACAGATGATCGAAATTATAATTTTTTTTTTTTAATTAAAGTCATGGCAGAAATATTTTTTTATATTTATTACCACCCCCATAACTAATTTAATGAAAACGCTAGAAATTCTATCGCATCTGATTTAGTGATTACTATAGTTAAAAGCACAAGGCTTTGAGGAATGCAAATCATGTCTTTTTTTTGTTTTTAATTGGAAGAAAATCAGCTCTGAATTGTAACCCAATAAAACAAAGATATTTAATTTCAAATGCTTTTATTTGCTTTTAGTCGTTTTTATGAATATGGACAATATTTTCTGAAAGCAAAAACTTTTTTCGATGAAAAAGGAATTTTTAATACAATTATTTGTTATTTCTTAATTATAATAGACTTTTAGATTTAAGATATATAATATTATAAAATTAGTTAAAAGTCACATCGGATTTCCTAAGTCTCCTTATGAGATCTTTTTTTCTTTAGTGCGTTGCAAATTGTATCATTTTGACTAATCAGAAGATTTGCAGTAATTAAGAAATGTAATTTTATGTTTATAATAGGGCTGTAATTATTAAGTACGGAAGACCAACCAGAATACAATTAAGCTGCATTATTTGAGTTAAACATTGTTCTCTGCTGTTAAGGACTTTACTTTTGCAAAAGACGTGGAGAAGTTAATTTGATTTTTCAATTTTATAAAATGAATGGAAATACAAATAACACAGTAAAATGTAATAAATGTACATAAAATTATAGTATTTCATGTACACTTCTGATAAAATTTCATAAGAAAGGTACCTATATTAATTAGATACCTTTCTTATAAAATATGAAATTTAATCTCACTCTTAACAGTCTTATTTTAATTTCTTTATAATATATTTTCCATTGGAATCCGTTAATATGATGCAAAAGTTTATGACCTGCTTTGTTTTATTTTCAAATTACATCTTTTTGTGTAGAAGCTAAGTTACGCTTGGTTCAAAATATTTTAAATAAACATTATAATTTCTGATTTTCTTAAAAGTTTTGAAAAAATGATAATTGATATTTAAAAGAATTTCAAAGTAAGATTTCCAGTTTTTTTTTATAAAATAGGAAAAAAATGGTCAATTTTGCTGACTTAAAAAATGTAAAAAAATACCAAAATACTTTGATCTTTCCTCTTAATAATAACAAACATTTAGATGATAAAATTTTGTTTTTGTCAAGTCTGGCATCTTTTTATTCATGCTATGCTTTTTTTTTTAGCGATCTCGTGGAGGTACCTATAAAGTATAACACTTGGTCCATCAGATGATTAAAAGGATGTTGCATTAGAATCCAAACAGAACTTTAGTTTGAAATGTTGACAAGCAACACATTTTATTTATTTACATTTTTATTAGGTACCTCCACTTTAAGCTAATAAATTAAATTTAATATTTCCAATAAACAAAATACTTTATTGCATTTCAAATCTAATTTAAATTGATTGTAAGGAGTTTTGAAATTTTTTTAATTTAGCATCATTTTTAGCCTTCTGTCCTTTCAAGGTAATTCTATTTATTAAAAAAATCTCCCAAAAAAGAAAAAGTACTTTTTTGAAACTAAGAAATATTCACTGATATAAAGTACAATTAATTTTATTTGAAACAAATATTTACTTAGTAGAAATATCACATTTTTTTTTTTTTAAATACAGCAGTAGCTGTTTATTTAATCTGTTGACATGTTTGACAGCTTAAATAACAGATGGATATTAATCTAATGTTTTTTCCATGGGGAAAAAAAAAAAAAAAAAAATTGAACCTAACCTTTTGTATTTTAAGAAATTTATAATCTAATGTTTTATAGTATTTTTGAGATATTTTGGTTTTAAATTTACAATAGCTATCAGTCTTATTTTCTGATAATGTTGTGTATGAATACAGAAATTGGCATGTTTATACATAAACAAAAACGATTAAAAATTCTATTTAGAATACTGGGATACCTCAGATTATAAGTTTTTTTAATTTATGATTAGTAAATATAGTCTTATTAAATAATATTCCCTAACCATTACACCATTGAAATTTTACTGAAAATTCACACTGAATTGTAAAATAAAAAAAAATGCAATGAAACTAAAGCATGTCAAACTGATTATCTGACAATGTCATCCAATGTCCAGTGTAAATGTGCTGCTCAAGTAATTCCAGCATAAAAATAGATTTGGTTAAAAGAAAGGACACAGGATAGATGTTATCCTCTCTTATAACATTCATATCTAAAACATTCTCATAACAATAAGTTTGGCTCAATGTATATTGGGTATGGTAAATTAGAAAAGCTTTTATGAATAAGATATATTAAGGACACTATTGTCGTGTGAAAAAAAAATTTTTTTTTTTTTTTGATGAATAATGAATTTTTATAAGATTTGTTTCCATTTTTTAAAAAGAATATTTTTTTTAATCCAAATAATTTATAAAGTTTTACTTATTTAAAAAA